AGCAATTAATAGCAGGAGGATATAGTTGTCAGTGGTTTTTCTATTTATAGCTCTAAGAAACATTTAAAATGGATAAAAATAACTTATGATATGAAGGAAAATAAGACTGAATTTGAAATACAGTTGTGTACTTATGATGAACATGTAACTGCTGAAATGTATAAACTCTTGTAATTTAAAACATGGGAAGAATAAGTTAAACATATGAAAAGGTAGGCTACAAATTTTGATTATAATATGCAGATAGATCAGTGGGAAAATAAATGGCAAAAAGGGTTGAAATTTATATTTTGTTTTGATTCCAAAGAGAATTTTTATTAAAAGATACATTGTTGGTACAGGATGCCAAAGAATGTATAAAGATTATATAAAGGCACTTCAAATGTATGTTGGAAAGGTGTACAGTATGAAGGGACATTTTATAATGCTTGGTGGACATACAAAAAAGGTAAAATTTTTGATTCAAATGCATATTTTGATACAGAGAATTTTAAAGATCAATATTCCATTGGACTTTTCCTTTTAGAACTAATGAATAAACAGAAAAAAACACAGAATATTATTTCAACATATGATTACTATGGAAAGATTACTATGTGCATAAAGATGGAAAGATTCAACACTACCTGTTATGGAGGAATGGTTGATGAAGTTGACAGATGTTGAAATGGTTGAAGTGATTACAGAAAAGATATTATCTACATTTATTGATGATTGGGAGCCTCTTTTGGAATATTTGTGTAAATATAAAAAAAGATTGTGATTTATATACATATAAAGAAAAGTAATATGGTGGAGCTTTAGAGTGAAGTTAAAATATATTAATATGGGTGTGAAGAATATTGGCAGCCACTTCTTTGTATCTTTTTCTTTTCTAATTTTCCTTAACTTTTTCTTCTTTTTTTGCACTTTTTGTTTTGCATAATGATTTCTTTTTTTCTTCCTTACTAATGGTTTGTATTACTTTTTAACTTCTTGTTTAAAGATATCAATAAAAATTGCACACATACACATACACATACACATCCCCTAGAGCAGGGGTGTCAAACTCGATTTCATTGAGGGCTGCATCAGAGTTGTGGTTGACCTTGGGGGGCCGGGGTGGTATAGTCGGGGTGGGGGTGACCAGTGTTGGTGTGGCCAGCTCAACATCGCTTGTATCGGGGTGCCTATGATGGGGGTGTCCACAGACAACAGTACAGCAAAACTGTCAAAATTGTGGCTGTGATAGTTGATCAGAGCACCTCTGTTTTTTATGTGCAACAGCTTGAGCATTTAGGAACAGAGGTAAGTTAGTTGCTTTTCTATTAATAATAATAATAAACCCTTTATTATCAAAGTATAACATGTATACAGTGAAATTGGCTGAGCCTCCCTCTGTGCCCCCCCTCACCACAAACTCACGGTGACTACAAACCCCCAACTTATTTCATAATCCTTAAAAGAGTTCTTCTGTAGGGACCCTGCTGTGGTCTAATTCAGACTGGAAATATAGCAAAGGAAAATATTTTGCCCCACTCTCCTTTGTCCTGTTTTCCCCACTGGAAAGGTTGTTTGCAACACACAAGGAGGGGATACTTTCCTAAGAGTTCACAATTCAAGAATACCAGTGTTAACTTGGATTGCCAATAAAGTCCTGTCTGTGGCAAAAGAGAACACAAAATTGCTTTCTCCTTTGAGCCCAAGTCTCAATGGATCCAGGATTGAAGCAGAATTGCGTGAACTAGGACATCTCCAACCAAGTTGCCTCTTCCTCCCTCCCTCCCTCTTTTTCTCCCTCCCTCCCTTTTTTCCCTCCCATCCACCCTCCCTCTGTTCCTTCCTTCCTTCCTTCCTTCCTTCCTTCCTTCCTTCCTTCCTTCCTTCCTTCCTTCCTTCCTTCGTATCTCTTTCCTTCCTCTGCGCTCAGGAAGGGGTGATGGGAGGGTGATGGTGTGCATGCTGCTGCCGGCCATCGCTATCCCACGCGGGTGGGCGGGACCAGTTCCGGTGAAAGGGAAGCTTCGTGGCTGCGAGGCTAGGTCAGCGAGCGGGCCATGGAGGTGCTAGTGGGAGGGTGGTGGTGGTGATGCTGATCTACAACCTGGTTGTGTCCATCAAAGCCAGAATGCGCTCAGCCTTGGATCCACTGGGCAGCTCTGGAACCAGCAAGGAGCTGCCCCGCTCCCTGGGAGACAGCACAGGAGACGGCCAGCGCTGGCATCCTGGGTGAAGTCAGCCTGCGGGGCAAGACAGCCTGCAAGGATGCCAGATTCCTCTGCCTGTTCGCCACCTCTTGCGCGCACGCCCAGGGGGTGGGGTGGGGGCAACTGTCACTGGTTCCAGGGCTGCCCTATGGATCTAAGGCTGAGCATGTTCTGGCTTTGATGGCTGGCACCAGATTGTAAATCAGTGCCTGGTTGGCCTGGGCCAGGCTGAGATGCTGTGGGCTGGTCCTTGCTGTTTCCAGAGCAGGTCCCCAGGCCAGACGGAACCACATGGCGGGCTGGATCTGACCTGCAAACCTTGTGTTTGACATGTCTGCCCTAGAGCATGAACATCATCCCAGCAGCCTAGCTAAAGCCAGCATGGAACAGCAGTAACATAGGAAGATACTGGCTGCAGATGATCATTTGAGAGTGGCATAAGCATTAGTTGATACTGCCTAGTAAACCACTCCTATTTTTTTACCAAGAAAATCACATGAGTAGAAAATCGAAAATGATTGACAATATAGATTCCTCTCCCCAGACAGGTACAGGATTGTCCAAAGGTTGTCTTGAATCATTTCTAGTTTCTCTCGTTCAGATTTGAGGAACGCGATGCCAAAGAGCCAGCTTTGGTGGCAAAATCAGCTGTTTGTCAGTAGGAAGGAAAAAAAATCGTCTCACTGTTCAGCATGCCATTTTCGGAAGACCTGTGATGGAATGTTTCAGCAACATACCTTTTCCTTGTATATGGATGGTTTGGCGGATGTTACCTATATGTGCTTTTTCTGAATAGCGCACTGTTTTTGAAATTGAGTTGAACTTCAAAAAGCTATCCAGCATGAGTAAGAGAAATTCATCTAGGGCTGGAGAGAGGAGCAAGTGAAACTTTAGTTTGAGAATGTGGTTCATTTTTAGCTGTTTTTGCTTTGCATTTTTGTCAATTGGAAATTGAGGAAGCGTTCTGAAGCAAACCAGCAATTACTCAAAAGTACTGACTCATAGGTATTAGTGAAACCCAGATAAAATGAGCTAAGCTTAAGCAGCATTTTCTATTACTTAAAATAAGTATTTTTGTAGCCTTATGTAAATAAACCAGCTATAGTTAGGATAGGGAAATCCTGTGTTTTGGACTGGTTGCAATAGGAACACCATATTGGTACACAATGCTTGGTTACTGTTTCTTTGCTATTACTGCTATTGAAGGTAGCTAAAAAAAATTGAAATGGCTCTGACCATGGTTTCTTTAGAATTACATGGAAATTAATATTGAGGTTGTTTCATAAACAGTATATTATAACTGATTTTGGAAAGAAAACAAGTTTCAAATTTGCAAAAATGCACGCACAGTGCAATCTCTGGCAGGAGGAGCCGAGTTGGAGTAATTGAGTCGTATATAAGAGTACTTCTTGTTTAGGGTTATGCCCACATTTAGTTTTTTAACATTTTTATTGCTTCAACTCTATAAACAAAAGGGAAGGAGGAGCTGAAATAAAAATACAAAAAGGAAATACAAAAAAGCAAAGACACCTGTCAGTAACAAAACAGAAAAAAGAATACAGGTAGTCTTCGACTTACAACAATTCCTTTACAGCGGCACTGAAAAAAGTAACTTATGACCATTTTTCACACTTACGACCGTTGCAACATCCCCATATTCACAGGATTTACATTTGGATGGTTGATGGTTGTAGTGTCCTGGGGTCATGTGATCCCCTTTTGCAATATTCTGGCAAGCAAAGTCAATGGGGAAACCAGATTTACTTAACTGTGTTTACTAATTTAACTGCAATGTTATTCAGTTAACAAATGTGGCAAAAATAATTGTAAAATGGGGCAAAACTCTCTTAACAAGTTTCTCACTTAGCAACATAAATTTTGAGCTCAATTGTGGTCGTAAGTCGAGGACTACCTTTATTGACTATAAGAGTAAAATTTATCAGAATTTCTACTACTTTGATAAAAGGCCATTATGTATGCATAAAATGAATGCTTGTCTTCCATCCAGGGTTTTAAAATCATAGCATTACAATCTCTCCAATAGAGTAAAACAGTCTTCTTAAATGCAGCTGCCACATGATTAATCCCAATTTCTTTATAATTTGGCAGATTTCAAATTGTTGCAATATAATTTAACATCACATTGATATGTCCATTAGGCTCATAGAATAATTATTCAACATTTCTTTAAAATATCAGCTCATTGATTTCTTAAAATCAATTTTTGCACTGATTTCTTATTATTGATCTTTTAAAGTTACCTGAAAGATCTCCATATCAATCTTGGTACAACTTTTCAGTTGTATAAAACATTTAACTCTAGATTTAGGAAAACTTTCTCTAAGAATAAAAATTTAGGTGCTTCTACAATAGAACTAAATTATAAAATCAAAAGTTGCTATAATTGATATAATGCCATATGACAGTTTAAAGTAAACCACATTCAATTTTTAGCCTTTCTTTTTAGCCTCATTTCAAATGCAGCCACTGTAAAGTAGCAATATTGGCTATATTGGGATTCTCATGTTTAATTTTTAATTTTTTACTTCTAACTCAATCCTAATTTAACATTTTGATATTGCTATCTGATCTATATGCCAGATGGCTTTATAATGAATGATCTAGTACACATCTCTGCTGTTTGAATAGCTGGTATTAGAGAAATGTCAGATATTTATATTAATACTGGGGATGTTATTTTTTCCTGTTCAGTGCTTAGATGTAGCAACTAAATGGTGCTCCATTCTGCAAAACTGAGCTAGTAGTATCTCAGCATAATTTACTAGGGTTTTTCTCTTTCTGGATTTACAGAGATATGAAAAATGCTGTAATTGGAAACAACAAACAAAAAGCCAACTTGATTGTTTTGGGAGCAGTTCCAAGGTATGTCCTCTGCTACTCTCATTTTCACTGATTCACAGCAGTTTCATTAAGCCATTAAGGACATTTAATTTTCCTGACTGTCGCTGACTCTATATTTTTTTGATAGCTGAGATTAGTATATCTGATTCCTTGCTATAAAAATTGCTTGTATGGATACATCTGTGCTGAAAAATTTGGAAAGAATGTCTGTTTCAAAGCTATGAAAATAGTTCAAAAGTCACTGGTTAATAAAACTTCTAAAAGAAATGCCTAAACCGGTTTCTTCCATTTCTTACCTGCATGAAGATTGCATATAAGAATTTGGAAGAAAAATACTTTTAATTTAAAAAAAGAAGCAATTTACTCTTCCTTTTTAAATTGTGAAGTTAAAGAACTTCCAGGCTTTTTAATTACTAATCTCCTATAGTAAATTCCTACAATTTGTTTAGTATCTAACATGCTGTTACCAAGTTTCTCATAGTAAAAATAAAATATCAAGTTGTTTCATGTAGATTTGTGGATCTACATAATTTTTTACATATTCCTAGGACCTTTTGCCATAAAGTTATTTGAAAATCAATAATCTTGTGATCATTAACAAGACTCATATTCTTCAACACCATTCTTATTTTTAATTAATATCCTGCTTCTACATGAATAAAAGCACTTCCAATTCCATTTTTATAATGCTTTCATCCTATTGTTGTTTTTGATCTTAATTTTTTTTGATGGAAGAAGCTTTTAGTTCCTTTTGTTAAAATAATGGGCTTCTGAATTATTTGTTGATCTACTGCAGGCATGTCAAACTCACAAAGTCATGTGACATCGCGCAACGTATTGTGACTTTTTCCCCATTGCCAGCAATGGGGTGGGCAAAATTTCGGCGTGACGCATCTGGCCTGTGGGCCGGCAGTTTGACATACCTGATCTACTGGAAAGCATTCAACGAATAGATCTTGATCCTCCCTCCCAGCCTAAAGTTACCCAGCTGGATTTCATATGTAAAGCGGAACTAGAACTCACACTTCTCTGGTTTCTTCTCTAGTGCTTTAACCACTAGACGAAACTGGATTTCACTATAAACTACTAACATAAGATTCTTGACTATTTCCATCAAAGGTAGCCTTTGTGTTTTGACCACTTATTTAGTGATCATTCAAAGTTACAATGGTGCTAAACTAAGGAGACTTATGAAAGGTCCTGAAAGCAGTCGCAGATTCCCCCTGGTTACATGATCAGCTTTTACATCTTCCCTGCCATCTTTCCACAAAGTCAGTGAGGAAGCAGACAGGAGGTTCACAAGTTGCCCCACTGTCCTTTTGCCCACCCAAAATACCTGCATAGCCACCTATACTCCATAGTACCTGCTTGTGACATCAACCCAGCTACCTGCACTCCTTCATTCGTGCCCATGGCAGCTATCCATGGAATCTGCCAGCAGGCCCCCTCTACCAAATTCTCATCCACAGTAATCATCTGCTGGCCTACTTACCTGGGACTTGCTTCTCTTCTTTTGTTATAGTCTCATGAGGTTATCGCTTAAAGACTTGTGTGATCCTGGGTTACAACAGCAACTGGGGCTGTTGGGATTGCCATCACTAAGTAATGTGGTCACGTGATGTCATGCTCTGTGGCCACATTTCTTTACAATGGAAATTCTGGTCCCAATTGCTGTCACAACCCGAGTACTATCTGTTAACATGGGCTTTTTCCCCTCCATTTGTACCAAGATGTTTTTTGCTTTTGTCAGCAGAATTAAAATGTCAGCATAAATAATGATGACTAAAGTATATAATAGACCTGGTTTACTCATAATGTGCTCTTCAACTGTTACCTCTAGTGTTCATAGAGCCTGAAGGCAAAACAACACTATTTTGAGATTTAGGATATGTGGTTTGACATACCTTATGGTCCAGATAATCCACAGATCAGATGCAGCTATCAGACCACTTTTTGTCCACTATCTAGTGCTTTCTTTGTTTATGCTACAGAAGTGCAATTTTATTCTGATTTTGGAGAAGAAATAACATAATTATTTGAGGGTTAAAATAGGGTTAAGTCCTTAAGCTTACATCAACTTCCTCATAAACTCTGAAAGCTTAAAAAATGGTCTTATTTGCATTTGTTTAAAATCTGATTTCTCATATTTTATTTCAACATTTTCATAAGCAGAGTAACAATATGGCTATTTACCTGAATGCTTTATTCTTTTACTTAGTAATTCCTAGATATGATGATCATTACATTTGGGCCCCCTTGATTGGTTAGAAAGGTGAAACATAAATCTTTTAAACAAATAAAGCCTTCTATCAGTCAAATTAGTATAACTATTTTGTGTGATACAAATGTAATACTAACACATCCAAGCATTTAAAAAATAGATGGGAATTATATAAAAGCAAAAGATTATAAGCAAACAGGAGGCATATATCCATTAATTTGATGATATTAAGCAATCAGAAAATGTTAATCCACACTGAGAAATGATAAAATTAATTCTTATTCTTAATATAAAAATTCTAGAGTCCTTCAGTGTTTTTTGGACTGGAGAGATTCAGGTTCTTTTTCCCATTAGATCATAGAACTCATTGAATGATTTTAGGTTAGTGAAGGTAAAATTAAGGCAAACTGTGCGGTACCTAATTTGGATCATTCCAACTCAAGACAGGATATAAAAGCATTTAATAAGCAAGAAATCAGTACTCAGTCACCAGTAGGATAGATATGTCAAATTAATTTAGCATCAGGATACAGTGGACAAAAAAACGGTTTTAGTTACTGAAAATGAAAATGTATACAGAAACAAAAGCTATTTATTGCAAACTAGAATATTTAATCTCCCCTCATATTTGAAAAAAATATGAAAGCAATAGTGCTGGAATTCAAACTGAGCAAGAGTTTGTTACATACAATAGTATAGCACAAGGAATTGCTTTTGACTCAGACAATGGCTATATAGAAATGTAACTTGTATATACCCAAGAATATGTTGCTGATAAAGTAATCAAGTATCTTAATAAAACTTTGTTAAAGTGCAACCTAGTCCTTTTGATAAACAATATAGGAACAGATTAATGATTAAATATTTTTTTCCAAAATATGCTTTATTTGCATTACTAAAGTAAACTTGATTTGTTCTCATGAGGAAGCTATTGAAATCACATAAATATATCAACGTTTTGAATTTATGTATATTATACAGATGAATGATGATGATGAACCAATTGTAGAAAAAATATCCTCAACGTTTAGCTATCCTTGACATTTATAAAATACCAAAGCTCTCCTGTTATATAAGTGCAATTCTATGCATTTTTACTAAGGAATAAAACAATCCTTGGTAATTGTTTGAGTAAAACATTCAAACTCAGTAGGACTTTATTCTGCATAGACTTAAATGGGATCGCACTTACGTATTTTATCAGGCTTATATGCCACTCCAATCATGCCTTACAAACCTCCAAAACAGTAACAAGCTTTAAAACAATAGTATAACAAAATAAATAGAAAGAACAATATAACTTCCCATGTGCCAAGGAACTACCATAGCCCATATAGTTAGTCATTCTTCAGGAGAACAAAAACAATCCCTAAAAACCCTGACAATATGCTTCACCTTATCCTATATCCTTCCCTAATCCCTGAATTTAATAATTGAAAAAAGGAGAACGTGTCCTGTCATTTGTGCTGAAATCCACCTGCAATATTTTTCATTTCTCCTCCAATATCTTGTTCACTGTGCACACAAAGTTCTTAATCTGGTATTCATTCATTCATTCATTCATTCATTCATTCATTCATTCATTCATTCGTTGTTTCAATTCGTATAACACCTATCTCAAATACATGCTTCTGGGCAGGTCACAGTAATTAAAACTATAAAAAACATAATACAAGAAATATATAAAAATGAGGCAGAAAAGTATTTAACAACACAGTCAATAGCCAAGGTATAACAAGAACTGTCAATAACAATTAACATAGCCATTGTATAGATTTAACCACACATCCCGATCCCCAAACCCAGTGGCAAAATCAAGTCTTTAAGGCCTTACAAGAAGTCAGTAGACTTAGGGTGAATCTAATTTTTGAAAGCTGAAATGTATTTACTTTTCAGGCAGGAGTACCAAAAGTAATAAGCTGAGCCAATTGTCAATTATAATAAACAAAAATTGAAATATCCAACTTTTCCCAACATCATCAGTAATGTGTTTCCTTCCTATTGTTGAAGAAAAGCAACAAAGGGCAGAAGAGAACCTCTGCTTGATGTTAGGAGAAAATGGAAGGCTTAGCTACTTTTTCTTCTGTCTAGCAAGACTACGTACTTGGTGGAGAGAAGAAAAAATTAGCCACTATAACTGGAGAAGAGAAACAGGTTGGTGGGAGGATAAGGAACGCAAAGCAGGTGTTACTGCTAGGAATAATTACCTTAGGAAGTTTGGCATTTTTCCTTAAGCCTTAAAACACACGTACAACTATGTTTGCTGGGGAGGTTTCAGTTGAAATGGCCATGGATGCAGAGAGCCTTGCATCTGATGGGAGAGGAACATGGTGTTTGGAATTCTGCATGTTACCAAACTTTCTCAGCCTTCCTTTCCATCTGAATAACAATATTTTCACAGAAAATTGCACTGGAAAATACCACTTTTCTTTTATGTAAGTAACATTGATCCAGCCTGCTTCAGCAGCAGGCTTGCACCAAGATGGAGACCCTGATGTAAGGACATTTCCTTAACAAATTCTAAGCAAGCCTTCTAAGTGTGAGGCAAGGAGGGTATGTTGATGAATCCTGAGCTGTGTTAGCTTGACTCTATTCACATTACAAAAAGCTAAATTCTTCAAGTGTGCTGCAAGATTAAGTTGTGAATATAACTTATAGAGGTGTGTTAATTTGCCTCACCTCATTTATTAGGCACAAATGATGTTTGTCAATAGCAGATGTGAGAGCAAAACATTTAATATGCTAATTATATTTTGTTTTAAAACTTCCCAAATTGTAATGCAGGAACTGAGGAGAAGTA